TCTTCATCCTCAAATCTCCATTATTCTGACTTAAGTTTTACAGTGAAGAATAGAGCTCAAAAAATAAAATCAAACTTGAAAAAAAGTCATGTTGGTCAAAAAATTATGTCATGGCTTTGATTATAATTCTTATAGATTTATTTTTAGAATAATGGATATCTTTAACATATTAAGACCTTGTGTCAGTGATCTATTATTCATATTTAGTTGTATTGTTAAATTCCCTGGCTAGCATTAATAATTTGTCTATTTATTCTGTTAGCTTTTATGTTTATTGCTATGTCATCTGCAAATAATGATACTTTTTTCTATAGAGCTTTAAGTCTTTGTTCCTTATTTTTATTTTCCTTGTAGTATAGTGGTGGTAGCCAGGCCTCCCAATATTATACTGGGCCACATTCCATGTTAAGGGAATGTCCCTTACATTTCTCTGTTAGCTATTTTATTTGCTGTAAAATGTGGGTAGATTACCCTTTATTAACTTAATGAAGTTTCTATCTATGCTTATTTCTTAGTTTTCTGGGTTTTTGAAAAATGTTAAGTAGGTCATAAACTCTCAGATTTTTTTTAAATGTACCTATTGCAATGTCCTGTGATTTTTTTTTTTTTTACTTTAGTAGTCAATAATACTAAATCACCTTTTTTATAGTCTTAGGATGAACCATAGTAAAATAAGAGGTATTACTTGTTAATACGCTGTCAGACCCAAGTAATGTTTTTATAGGAAAAATAATTGGGTCTGTAATTTTCACTTCCTGGTTTATCTCTACCAAGTTTAAGGATATTCATCTGCCTTTTCTAGACTGTTTGGATTGGTCTATGTGCCCTCCTGCTTTTCACTTGTGATATTATCTTTGCCTGTAAATTCCATCTCTCCCCATGTAAACTTCTATGTATAGCTCAATACTTAGTTTTGTATCTTTTCCTGAAATCGCAAAGCATTCATTATTTTGACTCTGTGTTCTGACAGGAATTTGAAAGTACTAAAACATACATATCAAAACACAATGATATGATTTTTTAGGTGTCCTGCCACTACAGAAGATGGAAAGCTCTGAAGGAGAGGAATGTAATCTTATAACCCCCCTCAAATCTTTGACAACACCTCATGCCATCTAGTAGAGGGATTGTTGCATAATAAATGCCTAGGGAATAGGGTGCCCCCTTTTAAAATTTACTTTTTATATAGGCGTTTCTTATACTTATTTTGTATAAGATGCTTCCTTTTAGACTGATATCAAGTCAAGTCTATGCACACAGCATTTATTAAATGCCAAACACTTAAACATCCAGAGAAGCAGGACTTTATCAGTAAGTGACAATAAACAACAAAAAAATACTTGGTTTGAGTGTATTTTTTTTTCTGATATGTTTTATCATCACTAAACCATAAAGACTAAAATGCCTCTTCCCTTGAGAATGCTTCCTGGACAACTTATATGTTTATGTATAAAGCTCCATGTACCTCTTCTCCTGCTTTAAGATAATCGTAGGTAACTATTTCAGGATGTCATCTCATTTCCATTAAGAAACATTTCCAATAAATGAAACCATCATACTCCAGCCAAGAATAAACTTACTGATAAGGAGTCTTTTTTTCTCATTTCTAGAAAACTAAAAAAAAATTAAAATCAATCTGCCTGGACCTTTTCTCGCTAAGACTAATCACGTCTCTCGTGACTCAAGTGTTATTTATAGAAGAATCAAAGTATAATGTGGTAACATTTTCTAGATGGTCCTTTACCTATCCCATAAGGGAATTTGTACAGGTCTGTAATTTCTGTTATTCCTTCTGTTGTGGATCATTGGAAGAGTCAGGATATTTGTTTTTGATAACCTGCGTCTCTTCCAGAGATCCCAGTCTCTGTAAATGGACACACTGATCAAGCAGTTGGTCAAGTGAAAACTCTAGGCATCATCTTTAAATACCATCATCTTGCACATCCAGTGCAGACACCACCACTACCAGCTGTATATCCAAAACACACCTGGATTCTGTTAATTTCCCTTTTTTTGGCAATGCCCCTTAGCTTTAGTTAGCATATTTGTATGTGATTTTTGTCATACCTCTCTGTTTGACATTTTTCTGTCACCTTCTCTTCTGTAGGTAATAGAAATATCAATTACCTGCTAAGAAAGTTACCTGTAAGAGATAGTACTTAGATTCAAGGCATGAGTCATATGATGGCTGGTAACTCAAGTGAAGGGAGAATGACACAGACACTAATTGCCAGCAAATGCTTACTGGCCATGAGTCCCAGATGACCCTATGAAAATAAGGGGGAACTATACACACAAAACACAACTACGCAATGGCCTAGAAGACCAAAGTTTTAATCCTGTGTCCTTTACTTATTATATGTGTCATTAAACCCTGGAAAATTCCTTAAGACATCACTAAATGTATTTCTCTTATCCATAAAGCATGCCACAACTTAGGGAAACCTAGAGTGCTCTATGAGAACCCACTGTGTCCAAAATATGTCATTGGTCCAAAAATGTGGGGCTTTTTATTTTATTTTAAAGATTTATTTATTTATGCATACAAGAACTGGGGTACAGACCAGAGGTGTGGGGTGAGAGGCTGCACCAGAGACAGAGTGGGGAGAAGAACAGGCAGATCTACTGAAATACACTGCTGAGGGGAGCAGTGGTCAAGTCAGGAGAGGTCTGCTGCGCCATATGGGTAGCTTCCTGGCCGGAGATTGAACTCATGCTGCAGTGGCTGTGGACAGCTTAATAGTGCTGCATCTTAACCACTTGTGCCACCAGGGAGGCCCAAATGTGGGGCTTTTTATAATTTTCTCCTTAGTTTAGGATGTTTGAAAAGATGTTAAGTTCTGCTGTGCCCATTTTCCGTTCCCACCTTTGTTTTGAAACTTTTCCATGCAGTCTTCTTGAGTCTTCCCATTTGGAGTCATCTCCTTCCTCTCCAGTTTCTCCAGAGCACTGAATATGGCCTCAGTTCTATTTCTTAGCATCTCAAGCCTCACATTAAATTTAGAGTGTTTTTTAGTGAGAAATTATGGAGCTTTTATGTCAGTCCCACCTAAGTTTAAACCAAGACTAAAATGCGATTTATAAAACCAAAGGCAAAGAAGGTTTCAACCATTAATTTAGAGGAGAGACATTAACTCCATTTTATGAAGTAAAGGACATAAGTTTGCAGATGCCATCTCATTTCATCATTCCATATCAACTATGTAGCTGAGCTGGTTGATGGTAAATATATGGAGAGACACAATTCTTTTAGATATTCTATCAAGTGAGGAGGGTTTTGAATTGTGTGACTTCCATAACACTAGGATTGAGTCAAAACTACTAGGAGGTCACACTATTGAGTCAAAAATTCTAGAGTGTCTTAGAATTCAAAAGCATATCTTTTTTTAAAGGTTTATTTTATTTATTTATGCATACAAGAGCTGAGTGTAGGCCAGAGATGCAGGGAAGGGACAAGATTCACCAGAGACAGAGGGGGGAGCAGAACAAGCAGATCTACTGAAAGACACTGCTGAGGGGAGCAGCGGGTGAGTCAGGAGAGGGCTGCTGTGCCATGTGGGTCACCTCCCTGCCCGGGGATCGAACTCATGCTGCAGTGGCTGGTGATAGCTTCAGAGTGCTGAGACTTAGCGCCTTGTGACAACCAGGGAAGCCCCATGGTATATTTTTTTTAAGTATACAATGGGATACATAGTATCCCTGTAAACAGGAAATTATTTTTTTTTTAAAGAGTTCAGTGACAGAATTTCTGCTTTCTACAATCACCATAAAGAGTAATTACTGCACTAGCAACTATATCTACCACATTGTCTGGGCAACTGAGTAACTCTTCAAAGAAAACTTGTATAGCCAATAAAATAATAGGGGGATTGAGGAAAATAAAATATTTGAAAACTATGCTCTGCGCATTCACTGCGCAATGATTTTCTCCATAAAACACAATAACATAAAACATCTCAGTCCAGTTTCACAGTGTGATGCATTTAATTCTAATCCCAAGTATCATAAACCATTATTTTACTCTCACATATAAACCTGCATTTAAAATCCTTTGCCTCCAATCCAGTTTCTTTCAAATGCAAGGCTAGATTCAGAAAAACAAAGAGCCACAAATGCAGGTTTTAGTAGGATATGAGATTGTGAGACAAAAAAATTACAACTATAAATGTATCCTGGTAACGTCATTGGTAGATGCATGAACATGAATATAAATGTGTTTGTGTGTATGTATGTGTGTACGCATGTCTCTCTATATCCCTTTCAATGTTGATATTCATGTTTAAATTGTGCATTTATATAGCTTTTATAGTGATGCCCACTGTTACCTTATCTTTTTGACTGACAATGATGGGATTTCAGTCATGCCCAGCCTTTCCGACAGTGCCAGTGATGGGATTTTTTGAAATCTTATTACTGGTTGCACTGCCCTGATCTCAGATGGAACTTTCAATCAAAAAGGCAATCAGAAGGTTATATATTTGTGAGTTTCCCTGCAAAGCTGGCGATAGCATAATACAACTTGTTGGAAGGGCCTAGTTGCCTCCAGTCCTTATGTGGCTATAAAGAGTAATTGGCTACTTAGCTCTCAGTACCCGTTTTCCTTCTCCACAATACAGCAGGGTCCAGAACTCTGTGGCGTCTCAGTGTGGAATCTGGCTGCTCCTAGGAGATTTCCAAGTCTCATGCAGAGATTTGTCTTACTTTAAGCATCTGATTAAGCAAACTCTCCCAAAGACACATTTGGCTCTTGCAAAGCATTCTTGTTTCACTGGTGATGCTGGTGAATCCAAGTTTTCTTCTGTTTTATATATATACAAACAGCCGCACATTTTTTCCATAACATTTTCACTGTAAAGTTCATATCCTAGAAATCAAAGTCTGTATGACAAGGTGAACACTTGAATTAATTTCTAGCATATTTAAACCATCCTATTACAAACTATTTTTAGTCTTATAAAAATAGAACTCATAAAAAATTATTGTAAGGAATGGTCCCTTAATACTCTGGGATGGACATTTGCAGATGTTTAATAGGCATATTTGTAATTTGATATGGTCAAATAATGGACAGGGTTGAAGCTGAATTGCTCCCAGGTGGCGTCTGGTCACCCAGGGGTACAGCAGTTCTCCAGATAGAAGCCTTGAATTGTGAGGAAAGCAGAAGTAAAGAATCTTTTCTCACTTGGCTGCAGCTCAACTGCTTTTCTCCATTAGGCAGTGAACCCCTGGGCAGGGATAAGTTTCAAGAACAGAAAGAAACAATACTTGACACAATAAAGACCTACAGATACATTACGATGCTTGTGGACCGAATGCACATTTTATTTGAAAAATAACCACCTATGTATATGTAAGACATATGTCAGTATTGCTGCAATAGAAAGCAAAGCACAGAGACAAAAATAGTCACTTAGATAAAGTTAAAAAAAGTACCGTTTAAAGAAGTGAGCACGGAGTAGTCAAGTTCTAAAAAAAAGAGGTTTGGAATTCATCGGCCTTTTCTGGTTAAGGAAATCCTGGCAAGTCTATTGCTAAAGTAAAAAGTACTTAAGTCAACTCGTGTGTGTATGTGTATTTTCTTCAGATCTTTATTTAAATTCAAGGTATGCTAAAAGTAAAGTTCAGCCCTGGTATAAATATGGTACTATACCATATTACGAAACCTTACGAAACCTTAGTTGGGCGTGTAAGCACACAACAGTAGCTTGGCGATTGCAAAGGAAATTAACAAGAGACTTACACGTTCATTCTGCCTTTCCAGGTAATGTGAATTTTGAGGGAAGATTTGGGCAACTTATGCCAGATATCATCTCTTGCCTGCAAAAAAACTCTATGAAGCTTATTCCATTCATTGCTAATATCAGAACATATGAATTTTTTCTTCTTAAAAAAATAGTGTAATATTTCTGCTAGACATATTGTGTATCTAATCTATGGCACTTCACTGCAAAGTAGACTAGAAATAAGATGTAAAAAAGAGATACGTAAAAAATGTAATAATATCTCACCTTGGTTTAAAATGTGTAAGCTAGTCAAAATAGTATATTGGTTACAGCTACAACAGCTATTAATAATCTACATTCACTAAGTAAGCATTGGTTTAAGACTCTATGCCAAGTCCTGGTGTATTTTAAATTCAATTTGGACCATCACTTTGATCTCAAGAAAAAGTACTCAATAATCATAGTGATAAGCATAGAAGATAACTTGTTTTCAAGCAACAGGAACTCAATAAGGACTCACTAAAATCACTGCGTAGTGTTAATTCTGAGTGTAACTCTCAAACATCATGTTTCTATCACCGTGAGGGCCTCTCCAGATGTTGGTGCCTTCACCCTCTGCTCTTTTTAGGCAGCCCCAAGTCTGAGAAGACTGAGAAGGCAGAAGACTGAGAAGGCAGGGGAAATAGAGCCCAACTATTTTTGCCTGATTAGAGACTCCTCCGAAAGACAGTCTTGCATTTAGACCACCTTTTTGGTTGGTCCATATTATAAGCGAAGACTTTCTTGCCAAACCCTGCTTCCTGATCTCTGCTTTTATAAGATTTAGATTTGCATCCCAGTCCGAAGGCTTTTCCTGATCAATCCTGCTTCTTCTCTCATCTCTGACTTCTGACTCTGCTTCAACAACTGTGTCCAACTGACACAGCTGGACTAGCCTTCATGTACAACCATGTTCTTTCAATGTACCTGCTGGCATCGTGCTGTGTGGCCACTGCCAAACCATTTCTCCTCCTTGGCTCTTTATAACAAACACTCGTACAGATGAAAGCAATCCTTGGGATGATTTACTTGAACATTCAAGGATTCTAGTTAGAGTTGATGACTGTTCAAACTCTTCATATGATTGGAAAGAAAAGTGATGACAACCAAAGTATTTATAAAAATATATTTCACAAAGTAGGAAACAATACAGGAGTTTCTCTGAATACAATACATGGAGTAAATAAACAATATTGCATTAAAGCAAAGTAGAAAATTAAAATGATCTGCATGTAGTACTGGAGTTTATCATACATTTTCTATTCCTAAGTGGCAGGTTGGCATTACAAATCGAATATGCTCACATCTTCTAGTGCTGTTCTCTTTTGGAGTCTAAGACATTCTGTGTATCACCATGAAGATCAGGGAGAGGACGCTAAAAACAGAAGCAGTAAAATTATGTACAAATCAGTTCCTGCTCTAAAACAGTGGGGGCAACTTGAAGCATGTTTATGGGACAGGGCATGATGTAGGTATCTAAAAGTCTAGAATTTAAATATTCACATGAATCAATATACTTTCAGATGTTTGTGCTTGTAGTAAAAACACCAAATACAGGATCATGAATAAAATAGAAAACGGTCCAAAAGTTCTCTGGGAAAATGCTGTTCCTGCCATCACCAGTCACAATAACACTTGCTACTCTAAAGAGACTATTAGCTCCCCTTTTGATAATATTGCCTGCCATACTCAGCTCATCAAAATGTACATGTATTAAACATTCATTGTATATATATATATTTATATAAAACAATCTAAAGGATTATTAATGGATATAATTTTGTTTTTTTCCAGAGTCCCTTAATCTATAGATTACCAACCTTAATAAATAAAAGCATTAATGGACATCAATAAAATATTTATTTCGAGGATTAAACAAATAAATTCACGCGCTAGCAATAAAACCATCTGTCTCTTATGTGGTCCACTGTGTGGTACAGTTAATCTTTGTGTCCTTGTGGAAGGAGATGAAGTGGAGGGCACGAGTAATCCTGCTTCCAGAAAGCAAGTCTGTTTGAATGGGATTGCTCTCCTCCAACCCCTGGTTGGCAATCCCCACCCTGGAATGGATTACAAACATGTGAATATTTTAAGGCTCGACACAATATTTAAAGATGCTCTTCAGTCTCTGATGAGTGGGGCCAGAAATTATGTACAATGTGTGGTCACCGTACCGAATCATCTGGGAGGCCTCCCACAACTCCAAAATGTCAGAATGTACAGCAGACCAAGTATTGCTTTATCATTTGTGGCGGGATCCTTATTGGTGAAGGGGAAAAAACCATTTGCATTTATAAAAATCCTTGCAGAAGACACAGATCAGCAGCAAATTCCTTGCAGGTCCATTTTTCTAAGAAAGCACCTTTTAATTTTGATTTTTTCCTCTTTTTAAACCATTTCTCTATAGATTAATCAGGATCCCAATCTTTGTCTGTGGTAGTCAGATAAATATCAAATATCCAAAGACTTCTAGACACTCCACATACTTTAATTCACACTCCACAAGATTTATAACCTCCTAACAAATACTTTTTAATTTTTATTGTTAATTTTTTGGTTCAACATTAAAATGTAGTTGAGTTTATAGATGATTGGTGCTAAACTTGCCTCTAAAACAAATAGCCACATTTTGCTTGTATCTAAGGGGAGTGACCCTAGAATATTACAGAATGCTCAGTTCCTTGATTTATTTATAATCCACTGTCAAGTTTCTTTGTCACTTTCACCAACAGAGTAGAGTTCACCCAGCCTCTTAAAGCGGGGACCCCAGTCACTGAGGTAGTCAAAATTCTGGTCTGAGTCTGAGGTGGTGGACTCCAAGGAGCTGAGGGAGCCAGCAACAGACCCTCGCCCTTCATAGCCGTAAATCTGAATGGAGTCATAGGGTGGGGCTGTGGGGTCATTATCTGCCTCGTGGAGCCGCACATTAATAAATTCATCAACATCGACACCATTCGGGACTGGAGCAAGCCCTTGCCTTGGCATAAACTGCAAATCTGGTTTAATATCCTTACGGGGTAGAAATCCATTAATTCCATCAGGGTTTTGTAAAGTTGCAATGTCAAAAGCCTCCGTGTCTTCCTCGCCTCCTCCTTCATCATCGTAGCGGATGATGTTTTCTCGAACGTCTTCATCATCTTTAATAATCAATGGCTCATTTTTATGTCGCCGCAGAGTCACAAACAGCACCACGATGACTGTAGGAGAAACATGAAATAATAATTAGCCAGCTAGCATACGATTTCACAAGCATCACACCGTGTATGGTAAGCAATAGGGACATTATCGAAAAGTTTATGAGCAGGCAGCTCTAATAACATCTTGCGAATTTAGCTAAACAACTTTCTGAAGGATAAGCGTGGAGTTTTGAGTGAGTGCTAATCCAGGTTGCTTCTGTTTATTACCTGGTGATGAAACTGGGTTAAAAGAATGCATTTGCATGTATCCCCCGTGCAAGCTGCACTTAATGCTGCTCTAGTGTGAATGGCACAGAATGGAAAACAGCACAGAGCGTAACTAACTTGCTGGGTATCTGGCAAGTATCTTTTTTCTAAAAGGAAAAAAGGAGCAGAATAGATCCTATCTAGTATGTTCCGTCTTTTACCCATTCTTCAAGACTCCCTCCAAATAATGTGCATTCATAGATGCAGTGTGATAGATCGAGATGAATGCCAAATTTGTTTGGCAGTTTTTGTCTTGTTTGAAGCCAGGAATGGCTCTGAGAAAGTAGGTTAAAGGTGGGTAAAAGGAAAGGAACAGGTACCCAACCAGGCAGATGGGTCAAATAAAACCTCGGTCTGTGGGGTAAAATGTGTCAGGAAATGTTGCTCAACCCAGGGCACTGGGTGAGCAGAGCTGATGTAGTCAGGAAGGTCGAAACTGACATTAACTTGATTCTTAGGTGTTTTATTGCTTAAGAGCAGGATAAGATATAAATTTTCTCTTGTATATCTTCCCACTGTCTAATCTCATTTTATAATTGGATTTTTTAATGGGAAAGTTATAGAAGCCTTCCTTAATTTGCAGTCTTCATTTTAATTTGGTTTTCATATCAAGAAAAATATCTGAGGCACACAATGTAATTTTGTGGGAAATACATATATATATATTTTTTTTTTGTTTGCTCATTTCTTTTCTTTTTATTTCACCAAACTTTGTAATTTGGATGAATTCAACCAATCTATACATTGCTTACATGAAAGGTATTTTGGACATGTAAAGTACCTTTTTGAAATAAGCTGGCGTGCATGAGAAGATTTGGAATTTGCCTTATATAAAGATGCTATTGTAACCACGTAAAGGCCCATCCCCACTTCCACCACCATTTTACTTCTTTTGTATTTTCACAGGTGATGGGATTAAAAAGGCACCAAATAGTCCTCTCCAATTGGACATGTATTATCACAACATTTTTTTCTTTTCACCTTCCCTTAGTGACCTTAGACCTGGGAAGTGCGAGGAAATTCCTCTTCCCCCAAAGAATACTGATACCTGGCTAGGTCAAGGTTTGCTGTCCTTATTTACAGTCATTTATGAACCAGAAAAATGGTGACCATCAGGCTATGAAGGAAATACGTACCTAGCAGCAAAATGATGCATGCTAATATGGCAATTAAGGCGCCCATACTGAGTCCAATCGGAAGGACATAAGCTTCAACATTACAAGACTGGACAACACCATCACTGCTGCAGCCACAGACCCGGATGGTCAGGGTGCTGGTGCTGCTCAGAGGCGGATTTCCACTATCACTGATTATGATTGGTAAAAGATAGACTTCTTGCTTCTGGCGGTTGAATCCATTATGCTTTGCCAAAATGCTGAGGGAATTATCTGGAAAAAGTGAAAATTACAATAGTTTGCATCATTTCAAAATGGCTGCCCAAACAACACTTGTTTTTCTAGTTCATAAATCCTCTGCAAACCTCAAGACATTCCCAGCTCCACTGAACCACTTGCCCAAACCCCTCTGCCATCTTTCCCAATTGGCAGGGACTAAAATCACCACACCCTAAAAAGCTTAATGAATGGGGCCCCATGTTGAGTTACATGGAATTTTACCATCTCCTTGGAAATGTAAAAGGCTTCTTTGATAAAAATTATCTTCAAGTGTCCTTTCAGAAGACACAAATTGCCCCAGGTCTCCAGAAATAATTTTTTCTCATTTATGCTGATGACGCAAAATTAACTGGGTACAATGTTATCATGTTTGAAAGATATATTTGAGAAGCTCTGTTTTAAAGGCTAGACTGCATAACAGTATGGCATACAAAACAACGCACTTTGTTGACTCCCGTAGGTACCTAAAGAGCCACTCATGCTCTCAAACATTTACACTACAATATAATCACCTGCCCATGTACTGCCAATTGGAGGAGATATGCCATGTATATTAAAATTCTGTAGAGAAGACCTCAAGTGGTTACACAAATAAGAATAAAATGAGAAGCCACAGGAGCAAGTGTTATATTTTGCACATGGAAATGAATTATATTGGAATTAATTAATTCCAATTAATATAATTAATTAGCTATAATGGAATTATATACTGGTTATCTGCAGCAATACTTAAGGACATTAAGCGATACTCGAACATTTCAATTCAAAGTAAAATTGGTCAGTGAGAAGTGACTCGTCTCCAGCAGTAGACTTGTTGTTCTCAATATTTCAGCCCTCCCCCCCTCAAAAAATTGTTGTTGTTTATCCCTACCTTATGAATATTAGTCATGTTGTATGTGTATAATTACATACATAATTAATATATTTTCTTATTTTGATTAATGAGAGATACATGTCTATTCCAAAGGGGAACACTGATTATCTCACATTGATAGTTCATTCAAAAACAGCTAAACACAATTTTGGTTAATATGTCTAGGGTTATTTGAACAAAACTGTTATTTTACTTGGAATATTGGCAAATTTGCAGAACACAGAACACAGGCTACCTCATTGTTGCTCTAGTTCATAAATCCTCATCATTGCAGAGATCCCAGACCATTGATGTCTAATTCCTGATTGTCATTGTCCTATTGGTTTCCAGAATATTCAAATACCTGGGTGGTCCACTCACAAGACTTTAAGTAAATGTGTTTAATATCTGTGCCATAGAAGAAGCTATACCAGGATTTCCAAAAGATGTATGAATTATATTTATCTTTGCTTTTCTAAAGATAGAAGTGACGATGTTTAATGCTTTACTAGGAAGCAGTCAAACAGGAAAAAAAAATTCTTAACAATTTTTTTGAAATTTCTTCCGGTTGCGCTTCATTACTTAGTAATTTGAAGAGTGAAAAGAGGTCTCTAATGGAGTTAAGCAGTGATATATCAAGTGATCTAGTAACCTTTATTTCCATGATATTGAAAGAGATGCCACTAAGCTAAAAGCAGGAGAACATTATCTCAAAACAGATACAGAATATACAGCTGTGTTATATTTTCAGAAAGACAGTGACAAGTTTGAGTATAGTTAATTAGTACCAGGAACATTTGTGGGTGATTTCATATATATAGTTTAGAAGAGAAGATTTGGAAATGTGCTTCAAAATGCAATTAATAAAATTGCAATGAGCATTTTTCCCTTTTTGTGGCTGACATTATTTACATGAGAAACTTTCTTTGCATATGCTACTCAGAACAATTAATGATAATACAGAAACCCAAGTAGAAATATTACTCATTGAAGAACAAAGCTAACTTCTTTATTAATTAGAAGAGCTTTGGCGGGTCTAACAATCTCCCATTACACTTGATATCTGCATGTCCTCTATATGCAAAATATTATTGGCTGAGTAAAGGGAGTCTTTGAGTCTTTTTTGCTAACTTTTCCCTGCTACCTTCAAGCCAGTGAAGGAAATTATCCACAAATTTCCTATTTGCCTTCTCATGCCACTTTATTTTACCACCATTTTTGATGGGTGCTTATAATTATTAATGCTTTCCCTCAGTTATCTCATTAGGCAAATGAAATTGTCATGACTGCACACATAAAAAATCAAATAGCAGCTTCACACAATTCATATGCATGTATTTGAAAGTTAGGTTTAAAAAAATTTTACCTGTGGCAAATATCTCCTACAAAGTTGTAGTTTGTTTCTTTGAAAGATATGTTAACTTTCTGTTGTATTGAAATCTTAATATAGTCACTTCGTCAACCTCTTTTATCATTAGTGTCGTTAACCTTGTTTAAAAGTTATCAATTATATCAAAATCACTTTTTATCATTGCTATTCATATTTAGGCAATTGTATGGAATTGATTTTTTTTTCTCTACTGATTATTGATTTTTCCCAAGGTTAATTATAGAGTAACTTCTCCCTTGTTTACTGATCTTCAATGCTCAGTCTCTCACAAATCAAATTTTTGTGCATCTTCATCCTATTTGGGGCTATTATAGCCCAGTGTTCTGTTTTACTACATCAAGGAGAATGAATTCCTTCATTTCCAGACCTTGCTTTATACTCCACACACATTTGTTTCGTGCATGACTGACTGTTGAAGGAGAGATCTTGATGAGTGTTTAAAGTGGACGATTAGGCCCGGGCATATGTTCTAAGTGACAATATTCCTAAAATAGTGATATAGTTGGTTCCTTACTACTTGGCAGGTATATACCAAGTAAATAGTAAAGAAGGCTGGATAAACAATAGGTGCATAATCTTGTTCAGTTTCAAATACATGATCTTGCTTAGTTTTCAAAAGCTCATTACAGTTATGCCATGTATGGAATTTCTCTGAGATTCTGACAACAGATTAATTCTAAATAAAAATATTTACTTTTCTTAGTTTATGTCATTTAGTTTTTCCACAGCATCAGTTAGAATTTTATCATAAGTTGTTAGAGGTTGTATCAAAGGCAATCATCTTAAAATGAAACTCAGAATTTTTATGCAATGATCTTAATATTAGAGAGACAAGTAGATTATACTCCCATAAAATGTGTTTATTAGCTCCCTAGATTCTTAGCTGCTTGAGGGAGACTAGCCTTAGTCAAGGTCTATTCTTGGCCTCAGCACAAGACTAGGCATTGATCAGGGAATCTGTAACAACATTAATCGCATTGTTTTATTTATTGGGGGTGGTTTTAGTTTTAAGGAAACCAAACACCCACCAATTCATTAGAAGCTTGCCAAGTACATTTGGAATTTCTGTTGGATATTAGAGATTAATGTTTCTCCCCATGTGAATTGCCAGTCTGGCCTCTGCTTAGATCTCCAGTTTCATGATTAGGCACTCTTCACTCAGTTCTATGTTCTAGCCATCCTGCATTTTTCTGCATCAAGGATCTTCTCTCCGGGGATTTTATAGTTGTTCTTTCTTCTTTCTGAGACTCTCTCTATCCCTTCTTAGCCTACTATAAATTCTTAATAGTTATGGATTCTTGTGCTTAAATGTCACTTCTTTGTGGATAATTTCCTTCACTAGTTGTCCCCAATCTCCCTAGGTAAATTAGTTAGGTAAAGTTATGCAAGCAAGCAAACAAACAACAAACAAAGCCTCTGCATTTTCATCCAAGCACTTACTGCAAAGAAATGGTAGAGTAATGGGCATAGACATTGGGGATACAGAAATAAACTAGGGAACTTCCAAGTAACAAATAGTCAAATTAAGACACATAATAATACTCAGCAAATATTTGCTAAATAAATGAACAAAATTAAGTAATTATTAGGCATATTGGGGGGGGGGCTATATTTATTTTCCTGCATGATATTTTGTCATAAGTAAATCTGTGTGGTTCAAAATAAATCAGTGAGAAAGTTAAATTACAGGTTATTCAAAAGGATATATAGCCTGGGGTCCTAAATGGAAATTTAAGAGATATACTGATGGCTTTCAGATCTTTGTCTGCTGCCTCATATAAGGTAACATGAATAGTAAAGGATATTTTACTCAAGACACTTAACTCAAACAGAGAAGGCTCAGAGGGGAAGAAACTAGTTCTAAAATGTTTGAACACCATTATGTTAAAGAGGTACATTTGACCTTCTTGCCATTTTACTTGACCAAGAAAATTCTCTTTTATGTGCTTAAATTGGATAAGTTACTTCTATAATCTGAAGCGGGGGCCATATTCTTGTAAGTTACTTCTGTGGTTAATCCAATGGAAATTTTTGAATTGTCTTTGATTATTGAGTGTTTGAACCATTTGGAGTTGGAAATCAAAGGACCTTCTTCCACAGAATATTAATATTCTTATAAAGAAGATCTCCCTTTTATAAAGAAACCAGTAAATATGTGTTATGGACTGAATATTTGTATCTCCCACCCCAGATTTCATCTGTGATTATTCCCAAGTGTGACTATATTTGGAGATGGTGCCTCTAAAGAAATACTTAAAATTAAATGAGGCCATAAGGGTGGTGTCCTGATCCTACAGAATTAATGTCCTTGTAAGAAGAGACACGAGAGAGGCATCTCTTTTTTTATCCAAATATGCATGAAGAAGTGATCAGATGAGCATCCAGAGAGATGGTGACCACAAATAGCTGTCTAGAGAAAAGGCTTCAAAGTGAAACACCCATTATCTGCACCTAAATCTTGGACTTCCTCAACTCCACAACTGTGAGAAGTAAATTTTTGTGATATTAGCCACCTTCCCATGGTATTTTGTTATAGCAGCCTGAGGAGACTAAGATAGTCCCTAGCTAATTCTACATGCATGCACCATGAAAAATAAAGTCTATTTAAAGAGAAAGGCTGTGACCACCTAGATCATTCTTTCACCTTGTCTGTTTATCCATAGTTTTAACTCCAAGCCCTCTTGCCTTCCATTTATTTTTTTTTTGTAATTTTAAATAATCAAGTACTGTTTTTTAAATGTCTCATATTTTGAATGTCCACATTGTCCTTTTTTTCAGATGAAATGAAAGAGGGAAATCTAAATTCTCTATTGCTGCACTATAGTCAGCTGCGCTGTTGTTCAGAAGCAGAATTTTACTTCAGCCTACGTCTGATATACTTGAAATCTTTTGTTTATCCTTCTAAGATGCAGGCGAGAGCAACATCAAGCTAGAGTTAATGATGCCACTTGTCAGACAAATATTTATGACAAAAGGAATAAATGAAGAGAAAATCAGTAAATATTATGTCTTTTGGAGAAATGTCTCCTGGTATTTAACTTGCAAATTTAATTCAAATTTTCTTGGTCAAGTCAAATGGCAAGAAGGTCAAAATAAAGGTAAATGGTACTTCATTCAGCGGGTATGGACAAGAGATTTAATTAAGTTGTTATCATGGTTTTGTGTCTGTTGTTTATTTATGAAAACCTAGCAAAGCAATAAAGATACCAAATCCACAAGCTTTGGGCATATTAGATACAACTATATAGAGTATCCAATATCTAAGAATATGAAGCAAAGATCATAACATCAATACTTCATTTATATATTTCTACTATGAACACTAAATTGTATTGGAAACAATCAGGCTGTAGTGAATTAATAAAAGACTAGGACTCTCTGAAGGCAGTCTCCTCAGTACCATTATAAGTTCTGGCATAATCCAGTTAAAGTATACCAACACAGGGCCTCCCTGGTGGCACAAGGGGTTAAGTCTCAGCACTATGTAGCTATCAGCAGCCACTGCAGCACAAGTTCGATGCCCAGCCAAGGAAGTGACCCACATGGCGCAGCAGAACTTTCCTGTCTCACCTGCTGCTCCCCTAAGCAGTGTATATCAGTCAGTCTGCCTGTTCTGCTCCCCACTCTGTCTCTGGTAAATCCTCGCACCCCCCACACCTCTAGCTTACACCCAACTCTTGTATGCATAAATAATAAAATAAATCTTTTAAAAAAAAGGAAGTATACCAACACAGTAAATATGCAACAACCAATTTAATTTGATCAAGTCACTCCTTTTTTGCCTCCTTATATTCCACCACACCACCTGACACCAATAATCTTAATGTTTACCAGAATACCAACTCATTATCAAATCTCCTAATATTTTAATAATAAAATTTATCTAGACATGAAGTGTCGTCAAACTTTCACTTTGCTTTTAGGAAAACAACAACATCGTGAATCCTTTTGGAAGTTTGTAGACTAAAACTAAACTTACCAATTAGTCAACAATTTACAAGTGCACATAATGAAGTAGGACTTTTTTTAAACATAGAGAGACTTAATCTGCTATACCCATGCAGCCCCAGAGTTCTATAAATATCTGTAGAATCATCGTTTAGCAGATGAGAGATATTAAGTGTGGGCTGAGCTGTTCACTTTATGAACCTTCAGACTCATTAAATAACCTATGAAACTTAAGCATCTTCTAAAATTCTGTAAGAACTTCTTAAAGTTCTTAAGTTTCAAATGTAGGTCATATAGGGATGGTGTTTAGTGGAAATCTCTTGTTCATTGTATGGTTGTTTGTGTGTGCATTATGGTAGGTGGTAGAATATTAGTGGAGTGTCCTGAATGGTGATCTCCCAAAAGACATTTCCACATACCATTCTTTGGAAGCTGGAATGTCCCCTTACTTAGAAAAGGGTCTTTGCAGATGTAATTAAATTAAGAATCTTGAGATGAGGACCTGGGGTTACCTGGAAAGTCCTACATCCAATAACATGTGTCCTAATAAGACTGAGGCAGAGCAAAATTTGACACAGAAAAAAGGAAGCGATAATGTGATCACAGAGACACTGGCAGATGTGGCCATTAGTCATGAAATGCCCACAGCCAGCAGAAACTGAAAGAGACCAAGAATGTATGTTCCCCCCGAGCTTCTTGATTTCAGACTTTTGGCCTCCAGAACTACAGCAGAATACATTTTTGTTGTTTTAAGTCTCCAAGTTTGTAGTAATTTATTATGGCAGCACTAGGAAACTAATCAATCAGAAAATCAGATTAAATATGATTTACAGAGGCAGGGAAGGGCCTACTTATTTTATTATTTTAATTTACATATGAGGAACAGGGTTTCTGAAAGATAAAGTGATTTGCTTAAGATAACTCAGCTGGCAGCAAGTCCAATGTATTTCCTATACTCTTTCTGCCATCTTAACAAAAGTCATGTCAGAAAACAAGGCAACGTTGGTTGTAAGAAGGTGATGTTAAAGCTCAAGGATAGGGGCCTCCCTGGTGGCGCAAGGGGTTAAGCACCACACTATGAAGCAATCCACAGCCTCTGCAGCAAGAGTTCTATACCTGGCCGGCCAGGGAGGTATCCACATGGCACAGCAGACCTCTCCTGTCTCGCCTGCTGCTCCCCTCAGCAGTGTATTTCTGTCAGTCTGCTGTTCTGTTCCCCACTCTTTCTCTGGTGAATCCTCTCACCCTCTGCATCTCTGGCCTGCACCCTAGATCTTGTATGCATAATAAATAATTTTAAAAAAAAAAGCTCAAGGATAAGATATGAGAATGCATATGGAAGGAGGTTTTTCCATGCCAAAACACTTTATCAGAGACAAGTTACAAACTAAGTGGACAAGGACATTGGTAGACAGTAATACAGCATTTTGGACATGTTGTAATATGGTCAATATAACTATAGATCTAAATCCTATACTTTGAGAATCAAGATAACATAATGTAGCATAATGTGGGATCACAAAGTAAATCATCCCATACCACTCTGGGTTCTTCCAGGCTGGCAGATAATCAAATAAGCATCAAACAGATTGATGTGAGAAAAAGTCAGAGAAGTTTATAATAATACATACAGCTCCTGTATATGTGGGAGAGACCCAACTTGACTAACTCCTCCATGCGGCTTTAGAAGCCATCTTAAATAGCTTAGCTAAAACAGTGAGGTGGGGGAGTAAAGGAAAAGAGATAAGATTAGGTCTTCCTGGGAAAGGCCCTTACAGAGAAAAGTTTATATATAAACATCAAAGCAACTTTCATCCAGTTTCAGAATTTCTCCTGTGAAATAACCCTCTTACTTTGTCTATACAAGTTTTGGGGTGGCAAATTTTTGCTTCCCTATCAAGGTTAAAAAAAAAAAAGAAGAGTTGGGCCTCCCCGGTGGTGCAGCGGTTGAGCGCTGGGTTGCGAAGCTACCCGCAGCCTCTGCAGTGCCGGTTCGATCCCGGGCCGCCAGTGAGGGTCCCACATGGTGCGACAGACCTCTCCTGCCGTGTCCGCTGCTCCCCTCAGCAGTGTATTTCGTCAGTCTGCCTGTTCTGCTCCCTGCTCTGGCTCTGGTGAATTCTCTTACCCTCCCACGCTTCTGACTGTACCCAGTGCTTGTATAAATAAATAAATAAATCTTTTAAAAAAAGAAGAAGAAGATTTGATTGGTGCCAATAAATTTAAACTATTTTTTGGCTGTACCTAATTGGTTAACAATTCTCTAGAAAACATGAAAATGGAACTGACTGATTCTACCCACTTGATAAATGTCCATAATTGGGAGGTTTTTTTTTTTCCTTTTTTGAAATATTTTTTGAGTTAATCCTGGTCTACATCATTGTTTCCATAATAAAAGTGAGCAGTTCTTGTTATACTGATGACTTCTCCAACAATTATTTACTTGACTGTTTCTTGAAAGAATTGCTCTAGGCTCAGCCCAAAGGTGTTTTACTAAGTTCAGAGGTCTTTGACCTAGTCCAAAGGAGACAGGTGAAGCAATTTTTCTGTAATATATCACTGCCTCCATTTAAAAAATGGCTTCACTTACAGTTTTCATAGTCACTATTTAGGTGTCTATGTTAAGGTTTTATTAATCTTTGTTGAAAGAACAAATGAATGAGTAGGTGAATGAAGAAATGATTACTGATCTTCAGGAACTGTTGGAGTAGCCCAGGGCAACTGAGCCTTGAGTTCTCTCTACCCTCAGGGTAGCTGGTTAACCTCCCAGGCTAGGCACAAACTATGCCTTCCCCACCGATGTCCTGAACAAGGAGGATGCTAGGAAGGGGGCGGAGCTGAGTGCCTATTTTCAGACCCTTTAATAGAGACCCATACACATGGCCTCACTGTCTTTGTCACTGGAACTGCTATGAACAGCTTTGGGGACCAGATGTCCCACAGCTGCCATCCTGGTAATGCCAGGCCTTGGTAAGACTTTGCCCCAGGGTAACACAGTCAGTCCCAACTCTGGAGTTAGCAAGCCTTGCTACCCGCTTCCTGCTCCTGTAACAGCAGCTCCCAGGATAATGGACATTCTCCCTCTGCTTCCGCCCTGCTAGTAGTTCCTCTATCTTCATCCTATTTGTTGCAATAATTTTTATTTCTGCCTCAAAGAACTTATTGTTTTGCATTTGCATATGTGTCTTTGTGGCCAGACCCAGAACTGGTGAGATATGTTCTGACTAGATCAGGTTTTAGACCCTGTGCCCAGCAAGAGTATAACAGGGTGGTCCCCAGGAAAAGGGGAAGTTCCAGGTTCCCTGCCCCACCCAAGGGAGGGTGGAGCTGAGCAGGAAAGACAAGAAGCTAGAGAAGAGACTGAGGAAGGAAGGAAGCTGGATGGAGCTGGAAGGAGACCTGGAGGAGGTGCATGGAGTAGAGAGACACGTGAAGAAACTGCACTTGTCTTTTTGGTCCTGGACTGGGTGACACAGAAGTGGGTGAGAGACCCGTGGGGAGGTGACAATGGCAGCTTTTATCTTGGTTTTGATTTTGCTCTTTTCCTTCCAAACTTGTCTAGCTGTTTCTGATCCTTTTCTGTGGGTCCCCAGCAGAAGGTGCTTTAGACTTGTGGCAGCTTTCGGGCCTTGCTCTGGGCTAATCCCATTTGGGTGGAATTTTACCCAGGAGGGGACGGGTAACTGTGGGCGCTTGATTTAGAAACTGCATTCTTTGTCTTTTCTGTATTGTTTACTAATTGTAAACAATTAGTCAATGAACTAAAGTTCATTTCCATTAAAGTCATACGTTTTGTGTTGATGCAGGGGATGGCAGAAACTACTTAGAGCAGGCAGGTTTGGGGGCTCTGATGTGCCCTTCTACCTGCCCTGTAACAAGGAAACTTCTTTTTTTTTTTTATGTTCTGGTGTTTTTTTATTTTTTACATCATTGTTCATTTTTAAACAATATTTGTTTCCCACCATGCCCTCAGGTGTAGTCCCCATAGTTTCCTTCACCAATGCACCTGTGCACCATCACCTCAGTCCCCTGTGCTCCTACCTCCCTCTCCCACCTCCTCCCCTGCAGGATGTCTCTGATTTATA